TAATAAAAGTATATATCTATATATAAAGAAAGCAAAGTTTTAAAACAACACCTCGTGCATGGAAAAATCAATAAATATTTTTGTACATTTATTGAATTTTTTTCAAACTATCAATAATATTTTTGTTCATTTTTGTTTTTGAATTTTTTCAAATTTATAGTTTGTTTGTTTAGTGCTTTCATCTAAATTTTTTATATATATGAAATATAAAGAATTGTTTTGATACAATAAAAAATAATATTATATTAAATATTAAATTTTATGAGAGGATAAAATATATATTAAAAAAATTGTGTTCGGAAAAAATGTGTGGACAAACAAACCCTTAATTTTTTTTCCTTTTATTTCTCGAGAAACATCAAGTTCAATAATGATTTGTATCTAAAAAATGCTCTCTCCGTCCACTCATAAAGTATACAGTATTTAATAAATAATAGTATTTTAATTATAGTGGGTAATTAAAAGTAGTGTAATAATATTTTTGTCTTTGTTTTTTTTTTTTTGGTGTAAAAATAATAATGTGATGTAAATTAAGGGTATTTGTGGAAAAATGAAATGTATTTAATGAAATATTTACTTTGTAATTGGATATTCCAAAATAGAAATATGTATACTTTCTAGTTGGACGGACGAGGGAGTATTAAAATTTAAAATGCAACCCAATAGAATATTAAAAAAAATGTGGTGTGTTAGATTAGTGATTTAGTAGTAATTATTATTATAATTATTTTGGATTTTGGTGTTTATTATTTATTTGAATGTGATTAAAAATATTCTATAAAAGGAAAAAATATATATATTTATAAAAATTCATGAAAATTAAATAGTAAAAATTTTAAAATATAAAAAATAAAAAATAAAAATACAGTCATGTATTTCGTGACATTTTCTCTTATATGAACTATTTTCATAGCAGTAGGTTAGGGGAGAAAGTAGGGGTGAGCAAAATATTCTAAATCCGAAAATCCAATTTGAACCAAATTGAAATTTAAAATTTGGTTCGAATTTTTCGGATTTTCGGATCAGATCGGATTGAATTTTTAACAAATTTTGGATTTTCGGATCGAATCGGATCAGTATATTTAAAATTCGAACTAATCCGAAATTCGAAATATAATATTTTAATATATTTTTATTATATATTTAATATTTTATTAGAAAATATTATATTTTAATATAAAAAACTCAAGTTTATTAATTATATTTTACTATATTTAATTTTTATATATTATATATATTTAATATTATAAAATAATAATAAAATTTAAAATAATTTAAAAATTAAAAAAATAATAAAAATATTTAGAATTTCGGATTTTTCGGTTTAGTTCGAATTTTTTAGTTCGAATTACGGATTTTCGGATTTCAGATTTTAGTTATTTCGGTTTGATTCGGATTGGTTTTTTCAAAAATTTTGAATTTTCGGATCGATTCGGATTTGGCAAAATCCGAACCGAAAATCCGAATGCCCAGCTTAGACAAAGTTTGAAATTTCGTGTTATCTTCTCTAACATCGATATTATGAAACCATTTATTTTTAGGTGAATTATGTGTCATTAATCATACCTAACCAAATCCACAAGCAAATAAGCCGATTAAGATAACACGTAACAATTTAAAAAAAAAAAAAAAAAAGGAATCTCTTATTACACCTAAAAATCTAAATCACAACCAACTAACCCTATGCTATGTTTACTTTATGCCGCAACAACTATGAATGCTTTTATATATTTTTTGAAGGTATTTTTAAATTTAAAGTTGATTTGATTTATGTTTTTAAAATAAATAGAAAATACTACGTTTTCAAATCATCCAGGTTCATCTTTTTCAGAAAAAAAAATAAAAAAAAATAAATAAATTAAAAATTAATATATCACATCAAATGTATATTTTTTATTTAACATATTAAATAAAAAAAAAATATAGGTTGAATTTAGCTAGATGTATTGTTATGATTGAGATATTTTAGATTTTGTAGATTTATATCTATATTAGATTACTTAGATTGAGTCTATCGAGTCTATTTTATATGACCTATATATAGGCTCGATCATAACAAAACAATCTCATTATTTTCCCCCAAAAAATTTCTAACATAATTGTTTCAGAATATTTGATCACGCTTAGGGTATTTTTTTTTTTTTATAGAAAACAAACCTTTTGAAATAATGATAGTTGATGAATAATGTAAAAATAAACTCGAAAACATAACTAAATAGAGGCTTAGTTCAAAACAACATAAGGTTGAAATAAATGAACCACATCGTATGTTGAGGAATTCATTCTTTTCCATGACAGTTGATCAACCACGGCGTTGACATATCGGTGCTGGAGAAAATGAAATCAGAAATTCAAGAATTTTTCAATCTCCCTGTACAAGTTAAGAAGAAATTCAATCAGGAACCGGGAGACATCGAGGGCTACGGACAAGCTTTTATAGTGTCCGAAGAACAAAAGCTCGATTGGGGAGACATCTTCTACATGGTCACAATGCCGGTGTCTTTGAGAAAGCCTCATTTGATTCCAAAGCTACCTTCATCGTTCAGGTTGCATAATTAACATAAATTAATTAATTCAATAGTCGGAAAAAATATTATATATTTATCATGTTTGTTTGTATTTATAGGGATGCCATAGAAACGTATTCGAAAGAGCTTAAAATCCTTGCGATGAAAATTTTGCATCAAATGGCGAAAGCTTTGGACATGGACAATGAAGACATGGTGACACTATTTGAAGATGGACTGCAGGCCATAAGGATGAATTATTATCCGCCATGTCCGCAGCCGGAACTTGTCACCGGCCTTTGTCCTCACTCCGATGCAATTGGGCTCACGATTCTCCTACAAGTTAGCGACACAAATGGACTCCAAATCAAGAAAGACGGGGTTTGGATTCCCGTTACTCCTCGTCCTAATGCCTTCATTATTAATATTGGCGATATCTTAGAGGTATTGTTTACGTATGTTTTCAAATCACTTTTTAGTATTTTACATAAGCAGTATATTTTTCAAAGTATTTTTTAGTAAACTAAGAGTCAAGTAAATATAAAATATTTAATTCAATACTTATTTACATAATATCAAATATCTAGTATTCCACTTTTTACTTATTTCAAAAACGCTTTAAAATATATTTAAATACAATATAGATTTTCATATGTATTCAACCAACTACTATATAAATTTGATAGGTATATAAGTTGAATAGATTCATTCAATTATTCAACAATGTATGTGTATTTTGATTTTTTTCTTCCAGATTGTAACAAATGGTAGCTATCCAAGCATCGAGCATCGAGCGACAACCAATTCGGAGAAAGAAAGGCTTTCGATCGCGACATTTCTTAGCCCGAAATTGGATGGGGTTTTTGGGCCAGCGCCAAGCCTTGTTAGCAATGAAAAGCCAGCAAAATTCAAAAGCATCGGCTTGGCTGAATACTTAAGGGGATATTTTTCGAGGGAACTTGTCGGAAGATCGTATTTAGACACGATGAGGATCAGCTGAATAGACATTATTATATATATATATATATATGTGTGTGTGTGTGGAAAATTTCTTGGCATGTAATAAATTGAATTGTGATGTGCTATTATATTCCGTGACTAAACCAACATCCGAACTTTGGATAGGCGGAATTGTTCAGTCAATTTCAAATTTATATGGTTTGGTTTTAGTTCCAATCTTTTTTTACTATAATTTACAAGTTCGAACCAACAATTCAATTTTTTATTCTAAGAGCATGAATGATTAACAATTCAATCTCATTTATTTGCTGTTTTTTAGAAGTTTGGGGTAGCCTCCAAGCACCTTAATAGATCAGTCACTTATAGCACTGATTGATAGTAAATTCAAAAACACAAATCAAACATAAATAATATTCCCTCTAGGCTCTCTAGGGTCTCATTTACATTTTATATCCTTAACATTAAAAATATTTTTATATTTATATAATTTTTTCACAAATATTATTATAATAGTATTATATACTAATAAAAATATATTTACCATTTGTACTATATTTTCTTAATAATTAATATTCAAAAATCTAACACAGTCTGTCCTCTCACCCTATTATGACCAACATTGTCATTACACACCAGCTCGTATCAACCACATAACCTCATTTATAACCTCTATAATTATTATTAAAAAATAGAATATACATACTAATACTATATATTTAATATGTATACTTCATTTGAACAAATCAAATATTAAAAAAATATTATTTTTTATATTACAATATTATTTATTACATTATCAATGCAAATTTTTATATAAAAAAATAAAATAAAATAAAAATACATAAACATGTTTTCAATCACTCCCAAAAAACACATTTCTCCCAAAAAAAATAATAATAATAATAATATTAATACATTACACTATTATTTTTATATTATTTATACAATTCTTTATACCAATCTTTCATACAAATTTACTAAACACAAATTTACTAAACACAAACTTCTGAGCAAAACCACACTAACAAAATCCTCGTATTAAATTATATATGACGAAAGGGAGAAGACTTCCTAAAAGTTTTATACTATCAACCAAATACATATATTTTCTCCTATATAATCATGTCAAATATATTTGTACACCAAGTCTGTCCATTTTTTTCCACAAAAAATATATACATTACATTTATACAAATAACTTAAATATTTTTAATCGCTTATTTACAAAAATATGCATAGCAAACTTTCCAGTTTAAACAAGAACCCAAGACTAAATTTTTAACAAGAGAAAAAAATGAGTAAAATCTTATAACAACAAAGAGAATGAATGTAAGCAGGTTTAAAGTAACAAATGGCTTGAAAGTATTTAAGCCAGATGTGTCGCAACCTGTTCTCCAGGTAAATATCTGCCCTCAAAACGAAATGCCCAGAAATAAAATGCAATTCAGGACATTAGATACCAGGGGCAAAAATCATCTTTAAATTAAATCTGAAAATCAATATCGAAAGAAAGTACTCTGTAGATCTATTAGCAGTAATCTCAGCCGAAAGATGGTGAATTAGTTGTGATAATCACTGGTAAGTCATTAAAATCTAATGGCTTCATCATTGACTGCAGCAATAGATATTTAAATATCAAACTATAAACTATAGTTTACAATCAAAAATTATAAATTTGAAAAACAAAGAAATTAATCCTGAGATAAATGGCGAGAGATCAGATGGTAGTGCATGTTTGTTAATCATCATTCAAATGCAGAATAGGTGGATAAGCTCATCACACCTCTCCCCAAATATCTAACTATCAAAAGACTCTGTTCCAGAATCAAACCAATCGAAGTAAATATAAAAAGGAAATTTTGTAAAAAGAAAAACTTTGAATAAACGTTCGAGGAAATCAGATTAAACGTCAATCACCACATTGCACCGATTGATGGATGCAAATTAAGCCTGGGGCGACAAAATTCTATCATCATATTCCTCGAGGAACAACATCAAGTTATTCCAAATTCATCCGCAACACACAAAGGAAGCCAATAAACAAACTCAAATTAGAACAAATGATAAATCACACATATGAAACAACTGACGGAAAACCTAAAGGAAGAGACAGGAAGTGGAAAAGGAATCGGCAGTAATTCCCATTTCGCCTACAGAACTCAATTAGGGTTTTTGCTTACGTCTGCCGCTGCACCCGTTGGGTTTATATAGAAGAAAATTGATACGGGCTTTGCTCTTCAATTAGGGTTTCGAGTCAGGTCATCCGATGAGATATGGGAATTAACGGTCAGATCTTTAAAAGGCGACCCGAAGACCACTTGGCCCATTCTCTAGCTTATTTGTAATTTTTTATTTTTTTATTTTTTTTAATGAAGGAAATATTTTGTAATTTTTTAATATAAATATTTAGTTTATGTAATTTTTAAAAATTATGGTAATTAAAATATATATAAGTACATATATACATAATATTTATATGTATATTTCCTTTTGGAGTTATTTTTTAATAGATTAAAAAATAAAAATAATACTCTAAGTCATCCGTCTTAGATTTATTTTTTTGTCATTATACTTAATATATAGAATATTCTATTGCTTAGTGAATGAGTTAAATGTTTTGATATTTGATATTAATGTATTATTACTCAGAAATAATAAAAAAAATTAATTTGAATCGGAACGGAAAGAGTATATCCCTATGATAATAAGATATAGGTGATTCGCCTAATGTAATTTATCTGTCAAACCTAATTTGCAGGTATTAGATTCAGGCGGAAGTTTATCCAATACCCACTTTGGAGTAACGATGCGGATTTTCACCTCATAAAAAGTATATATATATATATATATATATATTGCACATACATAAATACAGCAGACGACATCATTCAACAGAAATCTCAAACAAAATCTGTAAATAAACAGGGAATGCATGACTATCTAGATTTCGACGATCTGAGTTCGACATCTACGAGGAAGTAGCATTTGTTCTGTTCCCTAATGTACCTCGCATTGCCCTTCATCATGCCAATGAGCTTCAGAGACAGGTTCAGCGCAGCTCCTTCTTGCGACGTCCACTCGCTGCTCCTCGTCGCCCCGAACATTTCTTCGATCAGAGATGATGGCAGACCCTGGCCCGGATGCGCCATTCTGATCATCGATACACAAGCATCACTATGTTAGAAAAACTTTCAACTTTGTTCGAGAAATATTTTTATGAATAGTACCGAATAGTTTTGAAAACATAAGTAAACAAAATATCCGCGGCAAAAAAACAGGAAAAAAAGAAAGCCTGAATGCATACCTGAATTGTAGATGAACAAACTCGTTTCCGTCTTGTATCATCTTCAATCCCGGGGAGACCTTAATTTCCACCCAACCATCGGGAGAACGCGAATGCTCGACTATGCTGAGCAAGAAATCCGAAAGGGCGAGCTGAAGCTTGATCTGATCGCCGTATACGCAGAGTGTCTTGATCTGCTCGGGGATGTCGTGGATGAGTTGCAGATTCTTTTCTCTCAACAGAAGCATGGCTTGACAAACAACTGCATTGACGACATTTCCCAAGATGAACTCGTCCATTTTCAACTCCATCTTGCTGCCGAGAAAGAAGGAAGCATTAACTCGAGCAGCATTGCATTTAATTATTATGGATCGACAGAGACTTACCCGTCTTCTAAACTCCCAAAAAGCGAGACGTCAATGATGGATGAGATCTGCCTTTCGCAGGCGTCATTAGCCTCGACAAACTGCTTCTGATCATCTGATATGACCGAGCCTTGCAGGAGCTGACGCGTGAAGCGAATCCCGTTCAGCGGATTTTGCATTTCTTGCCTAATGTAAGCCAACTCCTTAACCTTCGAAACATGTTCGCTTTCCTTCTTGTACTCGTTTTGATTCTCGGACATCAGCTGCAAGAAGCATAAGCACCCAATTACATTCCCATCCTCGTCTACTCGTTTATTCGCTGTCAGATACAGCTCGACAAACTCGCCTTTCCTGTCGAAAAATCCAAAGGGAAGCTTTTCGGTGTTGTGGCCACTGATGGCTCGATACAGAAGGATCATGAACTTAGTGAGTACATCTTGGCTTTTCAGCGGACAAATGCTCCCGAAGATTTCTCCGGGCAGCGTTTTCCCGATTATCTCATGTCGGAACCAACCGGTAAGCTTTTCCATCACTGCATTCCATTCAGAACAGCAAGCATTTTCGTCCGAAGCAAAAATGGGAGGAATCAAAGGGTTTACGCTCTGAATGATCGCCTTGTAATCGCCTTGCAAACGTATGAATTTGTCCGTTACTTTTTTCTCCGTGGTCACATCTTGACCAACAAAGCACACCCCTACGACGTTGTTTTGACAGTCTCGACTGGTGCACGCATTTGCCAGAAGGTATACAACCGAGTTCGGTGCGTGCGTCCCGAACTTCAGCATCTTAACTTCCACATTCTTGTCTTCCTTCCCTAATGAACACAAAAGACTATTTTAAGTTACGAAAACAGAAACAAGTAAGCAGCGTAGAATCGAACCATGTAATTACCTTGCAAAGCTCTGGTCAAGAGTGTCTCGACGACTTCACGAGAGTCTTGATGAACAACATCTTTAACGAGCGACTTTCCAGTAGCTTCGGACACATTCAACCCTGTCAACTCACACATTTTAGCATTCCACCCATTGATCAAACCGGATAAATCAACTCCAAAGATAGGAGCCATAGCTGTTTCAATTAACCGAACCATTTCAACTGCCACAGAAGTTAGCTCATCCAACTGCTGCCCATTGTAGTTGCTCGGCTGAGAATATATCACAGACTTGGGAACACTCTCTTGAAGCGAATCTCTCATTATAAGCTGCAAGGAATGAATCGCATTGATCTCTGCAGTCTCCCACTGTAAACTCCGGCTTTTAACAACTTCAAGAAATGCTATAAATGAAGATCTTGGGTGCATCGTTGCACCATCATCCTTGGCTTCTGGGCGATGCTTGGCACCCCCCCACTTGATCTCCTTTTCCGTGTGGGATCGAAACCAAAACAGGAAATCAGATGGAGTTATCCTTGCTGTAGCCATGCCACAAACTGCATCACCTAAAATGGCCCCTCCAGGATAGCCAGCATCAGAAAGACAATCAGTGCTCAGCCCCGTAGAATCACCATGGTTATTAAGCAACCATTCGACAATGTCTTTCAACTGTGCCTCAGTTGGAGTGACCCCGAGGAGCCAACATTTCCCACCATAGTACAACGCGGCGCCGTCGCACTTGACAAGATCCATGATGCTCGGAGACTGAGTCACTATCCCAAAAGGAGCATCACGGAGAAGCATGTCACATAACAAAGTTTGCATCCGAAGGATCTTCTTTTCAGCCATTTGTAACGCTAACTGAAGCTCCATATGAAGCTGCAGACCGAATGCTTGCATAAGGAACTCACAAGCATACCTAAGAGGGAAGGCAATGTACCTGGACGTTGTATGGTGGCAAACTACCAATCCCCATAGCTTCATGGAATCGCCATTGTTGACAACAACAGCCATTGTCAGTGAAGCAACCGACCCCATATTAGCCATGTACTGAGTGTGACATCCGTGAGGCGAGCGGATGGTGGAATTAACCAAACAAAGAGGCTGATTCAATTCCTCACTTTGAATAATCTTGACTGGCTGAGCATTGCAGTCACAGATCATCCTAACACGGTTTTGCTTAAACAAGAACCGTGCCGCTTGGGGAATATCTGTTGCAGGATAATGCAGTCCTAAGTAAGGATCCAAATCAGACCGCCTAATTTCCGATACAACCTCACCATGTTCATCGTCGTGAAACTTGTACACCATGACCCTGTCATACCCTGTAAGCCTCTGAACATCTTCTACCACAGTGTCACACAAAGCTCCTATATCGCCACCAGGATGCGACTGCAATCGAGAAATAGCCCTCAAAGCCAGTTTCTGTGATTGAACTGCGCCGGCATGAACCATTGCAGGATCACCAGAATGAGCAGGCTCCAAATCAATTACAATGCCCACATCAATCCTATGCAGTATTGCATAAAACCCCTTATGATTCCCCCTGGAATGCACCCATATTGGATTCAAGAAAGAGATTTCCCTTGAAGTAACAGCTTTAACTAATGAAGCCCTAGAATTAGGGGTGAAGAGGGTTCTTGCATCAACACCAATCAGGCCCTGACCCTGACCAGATTCAATAATTACAGCACTGCTCTTCAACCCCAACATATCGAAGCAATTCTCACTATAGCCTATGATTCTAAAACCAGGCTCTCTAATAGCAAGCATACAACCAAAGGGCTGCACCAAACCACCCCTCTGGATTCTAGACAAGTAAGCAATCATCTGCTCCTCGGTGCTGGGAGTGTGGGGAGCATGAGAAACTGATCTTGAGTAATTAAAAGACTTACCCGATACTCCCGACTGCTCGAACTCGGCCATCAATCGTGCATCCGCATTGTACTGAGCCATGGTTCTAGTGAAGTTGTTCATGTTGCTGGCTGCGGAGTAAGACACGGCCGTGCTGGTGATCTTGTTGTTTTGCGAGGTTGCTGCTGGGGTTTTGCCCTTTCTCCTCTCTGGCTCCATTTTTCAAGGGAAATCCCCCAATGTTCTTGTGCAACTTCAAGTGGGCTCTGCAGCAGGGCCAACAAGATTAGCTCCAATTGGATCGTTATCAAGTTTCAACAGTGTGTGCGTGAGTGTGCGTGGCTCCCATCTCTGTCAAAAAAAAGGGACTTGATTCATTATCTAGCTACATGATAGACAGATAGAGTCATTACAATCCTAATTCAGATTCAGAGACAAATTAAATTGCGGTTTGTCCTGTCAGGGGTAGAAACAGAACACAAAAGTGTATAGTTTCAAGATATCACATTTAACCATGTATAAATAGATAAATTAAACAACAAATAAAAGAGGGAACTTTCCTGTCCTGAAGCATGTATTTCAAGTTCCCACCACACATAACAACATACTGTGAAGCAAGCTGACTTGAGTCTTGAGGTGTGTGTAAGTGTGAATAAACTATAAAGAAATGGAAATGGAAGAGAATGTAGAGTAAAGAATCCAAAACAGAAGATGATGACAAACCATGAAAAGGATGGGGATTTTTGTGTGGCTGTGAATTTAGCCTTCACTATCTCCCCACCAAGTCTTCTCACATTATTGGTGGTGGACTGGGTGAGGTTATCATGTGCCCCAACTTCCAGCTTACACTAAAATGTCACCATCCATTGCTTCCGTTATTCCGTACAAGAAGTCTCCTCTTCACTAATCCACTCTTAAATCCTATTTATCAGTCACTCAATATATTGGTATCAGCACAACATGTTTCCTGTCACATTTTTAATAAGAATGACTAGAGTACACTAAAAGAGTTTACATTTGGTTTACAATAGATAACACGAAGCCACTCAATATCTTATAGAAGAGTGTATGTGGTTCTCAGTTTTGAAGTTTCAATACATTCAGTGTCAGTATTATTCAGTGTTACGAGGGATTCCCATTTTGAATAATGACAATGGAATTAAACATGTTTTATTTGATTATCATACAACAACAAAATTCTAAGTTAGAACTTAATAAAAAGTTGATGAAAGTCGGAACATAAGCAACAGAGTTCGCAGGGTCAGGAAGCCATCTGCAATTCTTCAAACAGATTGCAGGAAGTAGTCCAGAGTTCTTTAGCAAGATTGGCATTGTAAGAAAGTGGGGAAGAATTCAGAGTTCGACCATTTCCTCCAAAAAAGTAAACTCCCGATACCTCCTGGAAGATAGAAATAGTTCAATGTGTTACCTAAAGCATGCTTCAAATAAAATAAGTAAACTACATAAATCACCTGCCTAAATTTGATGGTAAAGCCTATGACATTGGTCCACAGAGTTATGCTAAAGTAGTGAAGATTGAAGAAGTTCTAACTCCCATCATCTGCTTAATGTTGACCAAACAAGTATCTAGAATTTTAGAATGCTGTTCTGTTGCGGGTATTTATTCCTGAGTTTTGACTTAAAGAACAATATTAATATATCCTTCATAGCAGTGGTTACACAACAAGCACACTTTTACCTAATCTTTTACCATGTTGACTGTGTGACTACTGGTAGAACATTATATTGTTGGTACACTAAAACAAAAAGACAATATAGAATGACACAACCTTATCTAGAAATGTCCTAGACAATAGAGGCTCCATGGAATTCAATACTTACTGGAGGAGCTAGTGCGGCATCTAGGACAGAGGACACGCCTTCTTCAGAGGACCGAACAACACCCAAAGGTGTGAGAGCTATGTATGACATCTCTGCAAGACAAGGAGGAACTTGCCGCATGATATTGGTCTTCACCATCCCAGGATCCGCAGCACTTAATGTCAGAGCAGAATTATGCAATTAGTCAGAAATTTACAGAAGATACACCAACTGGACTGTTATATATTAATAAACATAGAAAACAAGCTCAATGTTGCCAATTAGTGCAGAAGATGGAAACGTTCGGGTGGGAATGATATAACTGATTGCCCCATCCATTTTCTTTTGATGAACTCTATTCATCATTTAATGGTTTATTTGGAACATGGTTGCATATTTAAGCAAAGAGAATAAAAACTTACACAACAGAGATGTGCTGAGATTTCTCCAGGAGACTAATTTGTTTGTGAAGCTCATATGCAAAGAGCAGCATGCAAACTGTCAATGAGTAACACAATTTCAGAATGGCTTTTGTGAATGTGTGTAGACTTCTTTGACTAACATGCTTACATTTAGAGTACTCATAAATATGTGCATACGGGTAGCCTTTTGATTTCAGAAAACACCTTCCTGTAACAGCTTCGAGGTCTGCCCGCTTGCAGCAAACTGAAGCAGAAATATAGTGTAAGTATTATCACGTAAAGTGAAAATTATTAAGAGGGGAAAACCAGAGAGCTACCACTCCAGTGAGTAAATGATGACACATTGACCACACGAGCAGGGGTAGGGCTATTTTCCAGAAGGGGAAGTAAAGTTTTGGTAAGACAAAATGGTCCAATATAATTAGTAGCCATCATCCTGTAAATTTGAGAAACACAAGAACTCAAGTCAACCATTCTTCAAAAAAATACACACCTTATTTTTAATGGAAAAAGAAATGCAGAAAATTATCAATGAACATGATAAACTACATCACAATGTGAAAAAAATGCAAAACTGCAGTTATAAATCTTTAAGCTGTGAAAGTTGCTTATAAGACTTAATATGAGAGGTAATATACATAATCTTGCTTATTTGGTTGTTTACTAGACATGTTTTATATCAGTGACAGCTAGTGTTTTTCTTTTGTAGAATACAGTGGTTGACTAAGTGAGAAAGAATTTCACCAAATGAACTCTATGAAAGTTGAAAAGAAGTATGTTAGAAAAATAACTCATCGTATCCTTCAGATGTGAATCTTTGTGATGTTGCCAGGATCCCAGCATTATTTATCAAGAGTTGAATAGATGAATGCATGCCCGAATCCCTTTGCCATTGCTGAAACAACTGTTTGAACTCAAGGATTGACTTGAAGGAAGATAAATTGACCTCAAAAGCTTTCAGACAAGCCTCATGATTTTGCCTCTTGATATCAGATATAACCTGAATCACAGATTGGATTTCATAAATTAAAAGCTAACAGCTCGGGGCAACTTATGATCGATCCAAACAAAGACTAGAAACCCCACCTTCATCAGCTTTTCAGATGACCTAGAAACTGCAAGTACAAATAAGATGAATGATATTCAACTGAGGAACAAGTGAAACATTTGTGTTTTCATCTTTGAAATGGGAATGCAAGGAATTACTTGGACTATTTGATAGAATTACCGATGCAAGTATTAGACAACCCACATATCTAATGTTACATATAAATTCCAGGTTAAAATCACTAGTCTCCTTCATCTCTGCAAACAATATTTATTCTTATGGATAGTCTTATTGACTCCAAAAAAAATGCATAACTATCTGGAGAAGACATCCTCCAGGAGCACATTCAATTCCCCAGAACAGACGATAGTTTCTGAGCAAACTCAGCACGAATCATTTAAATTTCCATATATCAGATTTCAGTACAAAGAATAAGACACAAATTGGTTACCTAGAACAACATAAAACCCTTCCTTGGAAAGAGCATGTGCAGCTGCAGCACCCAATCCAGATGTAGCCTGAAATTATGAATTCGAAAACACATTCCCAAACATATCAACAAATTTGTCAACATGCAATCACAACAAAAACACACGCACATGTATTGTTTCATAATTTTGAAGTCACTGCAGATTAATACCCCCGTTACTATGCACACCGGCCTCTGCACAGCGTCGGCGGCGAAATTCGAGTCCTTAGGCGAACAACGAGAGTAACGCTTACGTGTTTGAGTGATTAGCTTCAAATGAGAAAAGATGAGAGAAAGAGTCCAGAGCACTCCCGCTCTCCAGAACGCAGCGCTGCAAATAAAACCAAAAGCCTCCAACACAGCTTTCCCGACTGCCATAGTTTTCCCCTTTTTCAATCACAAAACTAAAAGAAAAAACGATTCTCCGCCGCAAGGAGATCAGACCACGCATACACAATGGCCCAACTTTCTTCAAATGTCCACAACCTCGTCCTCATCTTTGCCAATAAATTCAACCACTTGCTTGTAACTCAACCCACGCATCTGGCACTCGAAGCTGACTGACAAGGCTGGCAAAGAACGTGCTATGAGAGCATGAGCATGCGTCAGAACGAAGGAGAAAGTGTGAAGAACTGACAGTTGCAGGAATCCCGGGACGATGACTCTCTTGTCCACGTGACCTGCACGTGATTCCCTGGCTGGGCTTTCAGCTCTAGCCCAATTTGAAATTGATCAACGTCAGTCAAGCCCAATTTCAATCTGATTCGTACGTAATTAATTAAGCTTGATTAATTAATTAGAGTAATCGAGTAGTTCCAATTTACAAAGCGGAATTTCAAAACAGCCAATAAAAAAGGCAAAAGCTTTCCGTGTCGACACCATTTACAAACCCACAGAAGGGAACCAGAGAGACAAAGCCCGGTAAACCTGACACCGAAGCAGATACTCGAGGTAGAGAGAAGAGGAATAGGGTTTCTTACGAGCAATCGATATATATATATATATATAGAGAGAGAGAGAGAGAGAGAGAGAGAGAGTTGTCGGACGGGAGGCCGCCGTCTGTCTTTTCTGGTTCCGTTTGATTTCTGTGTTTTTGTATTTAAATATTTGGGAAGAGACAGTAACAAGGGGGAATTTTGAGTGGAGGAAGGTAGGGCAAAGCGCTGGCTTTGCGGGGTTAGATCTGTTTCGGAAGGATGAGTTCGGACAGGGGAAGCGGCGCCGGCAATGGTGCCGGGGTGCAACCGATTCCCGCGGGGTCGCGGAAGGTAGTTCAGAGCTTGAAGGAGATAGTTAGCTGCTCCGAGGCGGAGATCTATGCTGCTCTCAAGGACTGTAATATGGACCCTAACGAGGCTGTTGATCGTCTACTCTCTCAAGGTTTTTACTCGGAACCCTAAATTTTGCAAGAAATATATTTATTTATTTATTTAGGCGGCGCTTCGTTTCTTCAAAGTGATTGTGAGGTTCTTTAAGTGTTTAATATACTTGGTCTGAAGTTCACGCTTTAGTCTTGTGATTGCGTCTAAGAGTACTTTTGTTTGTCATACTTTGGTCTTTTGATCCAATGTGCTTGCTTTACTGTTTTATTTGCATATGTGACAAATCTCTTTATTTTGCTCTTAGTCATATTTTATGCCTGATCAGATATGGTACTGAAATTGTGTTGTCAAGGAGTAGCTGCTGTTTTGCACTTGTTTGCCATTACACCTTTTCTTGGGGTGATTCTGCTCTGGTTACCTGATGTATACAGTAAATGTGATATTTGATCACTGCTAATCACTTTCATGTTTGTGTGGGCAGATGAATCTTCTTTTTTAGTTGTCTGGCGTACTAGTTTTTAATTTCCTGTATGATGTCTTTATATCAATTGTTCGCAAGCTTTAAGTTAGCTGTAGTAGGAGACTGATGATATGATTTATAGTTGTATCAGTATGCAATGATGCCATATAGTCATTTCTTTTTTAAGGTACATCTGACATGCTTTTTACAATTGTTTAGATCCTTTCCATGAGGTCAAGAGAAAACGGGAAAAGAAAAAAGAGGTTTGTGATTGTCTCTATACATAAATTCAATTAGTGCTGTGTGATAGCAGATTGTCCAATCTTATTATTGAAGGAGCTCTCACAGACCAAAAACCAGATTACTTTATTGTCGTACCCTGTGGAACAAGAAAAACTTCCCTGGCTTTTGGTCTTGACTGATATGTATCCTACTACTCTCATCAATTGTCAATTTCTGTAGTTATTGCTCCTTAATGCCAACGCATTGTGAATTATGAGATAAGTTTGATGGATCTTGCTGTAACATGGTGTTCTTTTCTATTGAAACTCTTCAGAGTAAAGATAACCCTGGGTCAAAGTCAAAAGGTGCAAATAGTACTTCAAATCGAGGTGGCAAAGGTGGTTCAGACCGTTATATTGGCCGTTCCTCAGCATCATATAATGTTTCTGGTGTGTTTTTATCTCAAAATTTTCTTTTGTTGAAACATTGTGGACTACACTCTGTGTGTGTGTGTACATATATCTTACTGTGTCATTATCAGAACCTTCGCACCATGGGAAATCTACACATAAGAGAGAGAATGGATCAACTCGTCATACAAATTATATATCTACACCTTATATGTCAGAAAATATTGGAAGCTGGGGATCTTCAGGACTCAGGTTTGTTCATTTGAAACTATTAGCTGAATGCTAAAACTAGAATGCTTTCTTGATGGACTTAGTCTTGCCACAGATAATAGAACCGTTGCACACATTTTGTAACTATGGCAATATGTTTTATGAATTTTTTATTTGATTTGACCATAATAATATGCATATCCACTTATTTCTATATATCTCATACACTTCCTAAGTTCTCATAATTTTTTTCATACAATGAATTTTTCAATTTGTTGATATGAAATCAAACTAGGTTTAACCAGTAATATTAACAATAAAAAATATAAACAACATGCAACAAATTAACTTGCATATCAAGGGTAACCAATTCTTGATTCATGAAAAACACCCAACTTCATCTGATTAATCTAGTGAAAGCAATGGTCAGGGGTGGGTTCACTTGTCCCCCCCCCCCCCCCCCCCCTCCCTCCTTATTATTCAATGTAGTGATCTGCCGTTTCTCCTAAAAAAATATCACATTCAACAGCAATCCATTCAAAACATCACCTCAACCAACCATTTTTATCTCAAGAACAACAAAACCGGAAACACAGAAGTAAAATTAAAAGCACGAGTGATCACACTTCAGATTTCTCACACTTTAGAAAATATAGCTTTAGGTGAGGATATAAACATTGCTTCCATGAGGTTTACTGTAGCAAAGTAATGCGCCTCTCCTCCACCGAAGGTTGGAATTGTTGTAGATGTTAATTTTACAACCTTAATTGTTTTTTAACATCTTGTCCCAACATAACTCTAGTGAGCATGAGGTTTTGTTTCCCAGCTGGTTTGTGCTTCCCCCCCCCCCCCCCCCACCCTTTTTTTTTTGATGTTTCCCTGCATTTTTTGTTGCAGTGATTCTGCTGAAACTAAAGAATCCTTTGCGTATACTGCTGATGGTATGACATCTGCTGCACAGCCTAGTGGATTTCAGACTGCTTGGATGGGTGTTCCTGGTCAGGTCTCCATGGCTGATGTCGTACGGATGGGCAGGCCAAACAATAAACCGTCAGTCATGCCAAATTCATCTCATCACATCATCCAAAATCCCTCCACAACTGAATCATTTCAGGTTGAAAGATACACTGAAGATCATTCTCCTGGAGCTCTTCAATCTGAAGCACTTTTGGTGCAGAATGCCTATGATGAATGGCCTTCTGTAGAGGAGCCAGAAATTCCAAATGTGGTATCTGTACCAGAGTATAGTACAGAGACCAAGCTGCATCCAGGTACTGAAGGTGTAACATCTGACAGTGTTAATCTGCATCCTCATGTAGGAGTTCAAGAAATAGATGATGATAAAATTGGAAATTCTGGAGGAAATAATGCAACATCAAGTTCTATACCTAAAAGGAAGAATGAAGAGGATGACTCAAGAGGTGCATCTCTGTCTGGAAATGATTTGCATGAAAAGAGTGGCTCCTATCAGTCTGAGGCTAGTGATTTTGAGCAGGAAGAAGGTGATGGTTTTCTATACATGGTTTGTGATAAATACCTCTAGAGCACATGCTATGTTGATTATTGTATTTTCCAACGTTTACATACTGTATTTGCCTTGTGATAGTTATCTTCCATCATTGTTTGTCTTTGTTGCAAGTTGAATTCTAGAGCTTTGTGCATGATTCTTATTTACTGAGTAGGGTCACTAGTTCTGGTCCTTGTCCAAATTGTGGATATATCTTAATTTAGCTGCAATCCTTGTATGTATGTGTGCTGTATATATTTATATGGCTGCTTAATTCATGTCTACACCCTACTGTGATGTTGCAGATGATGAAATTGATGCTTCAGTAACATCAGTCACCAGAAACTTGCAGCAACTAAGTGTAGAGAAGGATGAGAATGGATTTCCATCCGAGGAGAATACGCGCACTGTGGTCATTCCAGAACATTTGCAGGTGCAAACAGTGGATTGCTCGCACCTGAACTTTGGTAGTTTCAGACCAAACGTGAATCCTGCATATTCTTCTGGGCCTACAGCATCTGTCCCTGTGGAAACTAATTTGGATTTGGTGCATGATGAAGCTGATATTTCATCAGTTGGGCATTCAGATACAAGGTGTCAAAATTAATAACATTTCAGTGTTTGGTTTATATATTTAATTCTAAAATCATCTCTTCATTCTGTTTTTGTTGCAGACATTCTGAGTATTATGTTGATGGCTCTATTAGTAATGATCCTGATAGTGGGTTATTCCATAGAGCTGGTGCTAATGTTGGAAGCTATGATACGCCATCTGCTCCACAGCCAGAGGAGTTGAAACCTGAAAGTGCTGAAGTGGTTCCTGGGAACCAATATTCCTTTCCTTCTAGTTCTGGTTATGCCTTTGATGATCAACCAAACCTAACAGCCCCTTTCAATAGGACCGGTTCCCAGATGCCAGATCTTGCACCATTTTTAAATGTTATGGTAAAGTATATTCTGCCAAATACTTTATGGTTTTATGGAAATAAATTATTATTATATCTGGACTGCTTTTTAAGGTGAATATGCATGTTATAATGATTTTATCATTGTAAACTTGTAAAGTCTCTTTGGAGTTTACTGATTGACCTTTTGTATAGCGAGTGGAATAATTCATGGATTGCAAACTGATTTTAGTTTGTCCTGATCACCACCTATTTACAATCTCATTGTGCGTATAAGGTAGTTAACAGGTTGATTTAGGTTTGTACGCACATTATGTGCTCTACCTTAAAATATTTCCATAGCATTCATGATCGTGAGAAGTCTTCTAGAATCTATGGTGCATCTTACTTTGTTGTTGATTGATTTCAATGGGAACTATGATATTATTATACGCCATATTCTTTCTTACCACCACAAATAGCTAGTGTTTACTTGTGTGATTTTACTCTGGATTTTACTATTCCAACTTTCTTTTCTCTCCAAAAGCATCAAATCAAATATTCAATTTTTATTTATTTTATTACACTAAAATCTTATTTTATATATATTTATATCACATCAAACAACTATTTTAATTCAAAATTTCACTATTCAAAATCAAAACCCAAATTAAAAACCACAAGTAAACACAATATTATATAATGTTGGTATCTCATCTCATATTTTCATTTTGGATTAGGGTTTCATGGTAGTCAATCTCTGCCATATTGTTATTATGGAATATTTTTGTCCTTATGAGGGTGTGGATGTCCTATGTGATATGGAACTTATTAGACATAACTCAATTGTTTTAACCAAGCACCAACTATATGATGATGCTCTTAACCAATTGTTTTACATCTGAGATTTCTCTTCATTCTGGTTTACATTCCTTCCATTCAGTCCTTGAACTTGCATCCTTTTATATTTGATGGCATGCATCTCATTTTCAAGTATTCGACAGCTTTTATTTTCTTATTGAATTTCTTGCTTCTGATGGTTTTTTCACCACAGCACCACCACACAAATTCGCTGCCAAGCACTTTGTTGGCTGAGAATGCTCAACCCAATAGAGAATCTGAACTTCAGTATTCTGCTTTTCCTGTAACACAATCCTTGTCCTCTAAATATGGAAATGCTGCCTCTTCCATTGGTGCTTCAGCAATTTCTATGTCAGAGGTACCTGTTAGAAACTAAATGCTTAGTGAAGTTCTATTGCATCTATTAGCTAGTGTAGGGGCAGTCTATGGTGAAATGTTAATTTGAAATCTAAACACTACTATATGTCAGACTCGTCTGATTCTGCCTTTTGGAATGATTTAGGCTCTCCGGAATGCTGGCCTCTCATCAACACAGCCCACTCCACAGACCCTTCTTGGAGCTAACGTTGCAACTGGACCTCCCATGCCTCAACAGCTAGCTCTACATTACTCTCAGCCAACACTTCCTTTGGGACCGTATGCCAGCATGATGGGCTACCCCTTTTTGCCTCAGAGCTATGGTTACTTGCCTTCTGCTTTTCCACAATCCCTTCCTGGCGGCAGCACTTACCATCAATCCCTGGCATCAGTACTTCCTCAGTACAAAAGTAGTGTTTCTGTCACTAGTTTACCTCAGTCAGCGGCTGTCCCTTCTGGATACGGTGCTGCACTGGGAGGTAATGCAACAGTTCCTGGAAGTTACTCAGCAATGCCTTCTGGAACAAATCTAAGTTACGATGATGTCTTGAATTCTCAGTTGAAGGATAATGCCCACTTGCTCATGCAACAGGTATTCTGGATCCTACAATCACTTTAGTTACTTTCTTGCTACATTTTTCGCAATATGTAATTCAACTTGTATATTTGTTTTACTGTTTATTGTATTTTTGCAGAATGAGAACCTTGCTGCATGGCTTCATGGCCCCAATCCAAGAACAATGCCGGCACAATACAATTACCCGGGACATAATCAGCAACTGGTTGGACTTAGGCAAGGCCAACCACAGCAACAGCAGCAGCTGCCACAGAGCTATGGAACCCCAGGATATCCGAATTTCTACCACTCTCAGTCCGGTAACTTGATCGATCAGCAACAAAACCCTAGAGACGGATCGCACAACAATCCTCAAGGACAGCCGAAGCAATCCCAAATGTGGCCCAACAACTACTAATCCACACCCCAGCCTTTTCAGCAGCCTGTAATGATGAATCCCACCATTATCTGATGCAAGTTCACGATCTCCATAGTGCCTCCCCCTTGTGTTGATTACACTATAAAACTGTTTTCTTTAGGAAAGCGGGGTGCTGATCTTGTGCTTGTCTTTGCTGTGCTTCCCTGTTCTGCTTGCATTTCCTGATTTAGATCTACTCACTTTAGCCTAGAAAAAGCTTGCTTCTGTTAGATACAAGCAGTTGCTTGATGATGATCTAATCTTTGTTTCTTGACCTGGACTTTGAACTCAATCTGTGGATTTGCTGCTGTATCAGTAGTTTGTGTACTGTACTATATAAGAACTGATTTTTATATATTTTTTTATATATGGAGTTGCCCACTTTGCAGCATCAGATTATATTCCATCATCTCTAGATTATATTGGATCATTGTTAATCGTTAGATTAGATTAAGTTTATCTCCACCGTCCATCTATCAATATTGGGAACATTGCTTTAAAACCATGGACTATAAGGATATTGGGCCGGCCCGTTAAAGGCGAAGTCGCCACGACGTCGTTTTAAGAACGTTTGTGATTGTGATGGAGTCTAGTACGATGGCGCTCCAATCTCGTCTCTGCGCGCTCTCCTGCAACGCTCGGGTACGTCTCTGTCATCTCACTCTCCGTCGCGCATTTCTTGATTCAGGTTTTGAATTAATACGTTGATTTTGTTTAGGCGCTACTGACGCCGCTTTCGCAGTGCGCCTTGGGCCACCGTGGATGGTACTTTCCTATTTGTTCGATGATCGTGAAATTAGTTTAGTTTTTCGTTATTCGTTTTTATGAGCAATTGATTCAGAAAGTGAAGAACAACAGTACTTTGCTTACAGTTCAAGTCTTCGTGTAGCTGATGTACTTCATAGCTGCGAGGGAGGCTCGTCAAATAAAAGCAGTTATAATGGGACCAGAGCTTACTGTAGTGGCGGAGGTTAGGCGTTAGCAAGTTATATATATATACGATTGTCTTTCTTTGGTTTCGAAATTGACGCCCATGGTACTCCCTGCTTTCTCTGATACAGTTTGTACTTAAAAGTGTTTATAATTTTTAGCTCTTCTCTCAATCCCAGTGGACATGGCACTCAAAATTTTTCATAATCTAAATATCTGGGTAACTGTATATATGCTTTATTGTGCTGTTAATTAATCTTTGCTCAACTCAACTTAGATTGGTTAATTTGCATTGTAAGTTTTGTGAATGAATCACTTTTCTATGTTAAAGAAATTCTATAAGAGAATTGTACTGATGCGATATTTGAATGCTGATAGATCTTTCAGCTAAAAAATGTGTGCCTTGCAACTCTAAAGATCTGAGGCCTATGACTGAGGATGCAGCGAACAAGTTAATGAAACAGGCATGGAATAGCTCTTTTGCTATCTAATTATCCATATGTTATATTTAATATTCTTCAGTTTGATCTGGGCTTTATAATTTCTATTTGATGATTCAGGTTCCCGGATGGAATCTGGTAAGCGAAGGTGGGGTCCAAAAGCTGAATGGGTCATGGAAAGTTAAGACATTCGTGAAAGGCATGGATTTTCTTCAGCTCGTAGCTGATGTTGCAGAAGCAGAAGGTATATTGATCAACTATCCTCATTGACAATGCATATGTATAGTAGTGTGTCTCATGTGTGTAGGCCATTTTTCCATTACAAGTTTTCATTCTTTCTCTGAAGCCAATGCCTACATTATATATATATATATATGAATTCACGTAGCGAATTTAATGATCTAGTTTTTATAATACTAGTACTTTAGTAATTTTGCATATATTTGATTCTCAGTGTGTTGAATGAGTATTAAATGTGTGTTGTTTGTTGTTATAAATATTACTGACTAAAATGTTAAATGGAGAGTTGTATATATCTATATGTATAAGGTTGTCTAAACATTTCTAAGTTATTTTACCGAATAATGTTGAATGGATATTAATCATGTGCTTCTTGTAGTATTTATATCTATTGCTGATTATATATTATATTAACGATGTGTTGTTTGTATCATATATGTAAGGTGGTCTAAATTTTCTATATTATTTTTCAAATAGTGATGAATGAATGTACATGTGTTGTTTGTATCTATATAAATTATTCACTACATATTAGCCATATGTGTTTTCAAATTCCTGTTCAAATTTGATAACGGTGCTCTGAAAACTATGCTGCTGTATGAAACCAATTTTATATCCTCTTTAACCAGCAAGGGTTAGGTATTTAACTAATATTGTGTTTTCACAACGCTCCATCTTTGCTGTGTGTGCTGAATCGCGAATCATAAGCCGGGCTTGGTTTGAATTGCTTCTCTAACCATACCCTTCATCAAGAATTGAAATCCATTATAGAGCAACTTACTTTCTGTGTCTATGTTCAAGTTGGATTCTGTTCTCTAAATTCTTTTCTTGTTTCATAGGCCATCATCCCGACCTTCATCTCATCGGATGGAACAATGTGAAGATCGATATATGGACTCATGCAGTGGGTAAGAATATTTGCAATCATATTGCCAATTCTCATGATTTGTTTCATAGATTTGAATATTTGCAACCTTCATATTGCCAATTCTCATGAAGTTATATGATTTATCCTTTCTAAGAAAGCTAAGCAGAGCTACTTCCATGATGGTGTAGGTGGACTCACTGAGAATGACTTCATTCTTGCTGCCAAGATCAATGGACTTAATTTCCATGACCTTCTGAGAAGAACTCCAACTAATAAATGACTTGCTATCCCTCCACAGCTTTTTATCATTTGCTTGCATCTGATGCAATAATTAGGGTTTGGTTCTTTAGATTGGATTGGGAAAAAGTTTTATTTAAATTTGATATTAAATAATGTTTGATGAGATATTTGTGAAAGAGAAAATTGTTTTTTTTTTTTTTGGAATGGTCGAATAGTCAAAATTTAAGTTTGGGTTAAAGAAACCTTCATTTATTATCTATATTTTTATTAATTTCAAAATAAACCTTTACAGCTGTTAATTATTTTTTTGTTGTACCCTATAATTATGTTATCTATATTACAAATCTTTTTACTCGGAGAATATATAGGATATGTTCTTCCAATAAAAAATTTTACACTAGGGGTGTGTTGTTTGGGGGATTTGGATTTTGGATTAAGATTTGAATAGTAAAAAATTTGAATTAAAATAGTTGTATGATGCCATATAAATATGGATTGATGTGATGTTTTGAATGTAAAATTGATTTTTAGTATAATATAAAAAATAAAAAATAGATGTTTTGATTTGATATTTTTGAAAGAAAAAATTTTTGTGAATAGTAAAAGTTTACTAAAATCTTTTGAACAAACACACTTTAATTTTAATTAATATTTAAAAAATATGTAATATATATTATATTCAAAATAAAAAAATTAATAATTTTATACAAAATATTATTAACAAACAATCTATATTTTCTTTTATTTAAAAAAGTTGACAGGAACGCAGGCCATAATAGAGGAATGGGGTTTGTTTTATCGGGATTTAGATTTAAATTGATTTAAATAATTATTTAATAGTTATATTTAAAAATAATAATATTTTTTTATTAAAAAAAAATAACGTAATGACCCGCCAACGGACCGGGTAGAAATAAAGGAGCACAACCAAGATCCGAACGCGTAATTCGGACGCCACTGCGGACCCACTATTATCTAGGTATAAATACAGAGAATAAACAACCTGAATGTAAACCTCTCTTCGTTTCCACTGAATCAATTCAAATCTGAAGGAACAATGGTGAGCAATTTCTTCCTGTATCGTGCAACTTAGTTTTTATTTTTAGTCGATATCTTGTTGATTCAAGAGCGTTTCCTTTTCCGAATCTGTTGAATGATTGACGATGTGCTAGTGCTTGCTGCATCTCTCTCTTTGTTTCCCCATTCATTCGCTTTGGCAGTTTGTTGAGATTGCTTTGTGTGTATGTGGACGGATTTTAGATTTTTTTCCTTTTTCCTGCATGATTTTTCTTGTTTTATTTCTAAGTTTGCTTCAGATAGTGAATTCTGATGTAAGAGTGTATATGGAGTTAAGTTCGAGGAACTTAGGGTTATTGAGTTCGCATGCCTTTCCGAAGGATCCAGTGTGAAAAGCTTTCCGGATAATCAGGGTGGTTTGTTGTAGTGTATCTACACGGAGCTATCAATTATGCTTCCCGTTCAGAATTGGGTTCAGAGTTAAAAGTAAACAAGTAAAAGAACTGGATTATAAGTTAGTTAATTGACTCCCATTTAGTCTGTTAGGTGATTGATCTCTAAACACAAACACTGACCGTGTCCAATTACACAACTATTGTTTCTGAACATGTTTTAATATACCTAGTGTACCGTTAGGATCTGGATGCTTGTTTTCACGAACAATATTGAAACTAGATTTGCGACAACAAGAGAGATTGAAATATCACTGCATTCCCAGAAGTGCTGATTCTTGGTGTGTTTGGATGTTTGTTTGGTGGTTGGTTCGGGTTGCGAATTGTAAAAATTTGAATTGAATTATAGGTTTTTCATGTGATATAAATAGGTTTTCATAAGATATTTTGAATGAAAATTTAATTTTTTAATATAATATTTTAAATAAAAAAAATAGGTCTTTATTCTGCTTTTTCCTCTATTATTTTTGAGAAGTAAATAGGCTGGATAATTTTCTCTCTTTCCAGGCATAAGGTGTTTGTTGTGTTCTGCAGGTTCATTTTGATTTGTATAATTACGCTCCTGCTCAATAATTATATTATTTAGCGAATTGAGTTCTTGGTCTCAGCCTTTCATTAATTTAGTGTGAGATGTTTGCCTACTGGTTGATGTTTTATAATCATAAACTCATCATGAATCTGAGCCGCCCATGCCCTTCCATGATAAGTGTGTTTATTTGTCTATCCATGATGTCTCAAAAGAGCACCATTGTGAAGCTTCCAACATCCAACATCTGATTAGATGATAAATTATTTAAGCTTATTGGTTTCCATCTGATAACGAGTAGGGTGTATTAGCCTCCCTAGCCTAATTTAATGAGGTCTGAATAATAGATTATTGTTCTCCTTAGCCTCCCTAAGTACTGGTTTCCATGTATGGGTAGGGTGGCTGTGTAGCATTAAGGGTGCAGAGTTTGGAAGAAAATTGGCCATTGTAAATGGACTAAGTTAATGGTGATAGATCTGATAGTGTACCATGAGAAGGTTACATGACTTACATCTATATTCACTTCATTAAGATATGATTGATACAATTCAATTATTGATTAGCACATTAAGATCTATCTTGCACTTATTAAACTGCATTCTAGGCTGACCCGGAATTGGAAGCAATCAGGCAAAGGAGAATGCAAGAGCTAATGGCTCAACGCGGCACGGTAATTTTATACTTATCCCTAATCTTAGATTAGCTGTTATTCTGCTTATTTTAGCATATTCTACTCTGACACTATATTTCTTTTAGGGTTCTCAACAAAGTCCTGAACAGCAGAATGCTCAGGAGGAAGCAAAAAGGTAAACATCCTTCCCATTAGAGTATAATAATTTTGTAAACCGATATAGATATGTCTTGGAAGTACCTTTGTGATGCTCATCTTTATCTGAAATTGATTTAGGGAGGCAGAGGAACGAAGGCAATTGATGCTTTCCCAAATTCTGACATCTGAGGCACGGGCAAGAGGTAAGTTAAATTTGCTCCCAACTCTGTGTCTTGTTTCAATACCAACCCGCGTATTGAATTAAATTTATTCTGATATTTCATTTATTTTTTGAAATCCCCAAAAAATTATACATTTTGCTAAGATTTTCTTCCAGCAGATGAATTTTCTCAGGCAGTAATGTAGAGAAAGAACTCCAACAAGCTAGCTATAATGATAATCCTGTTCTTAGCTATACGTATGATAATCTGTTCTTCAATATTTTCATGATGATACCAATCTATATATATACACACACACGCAGTTGCTCGCATTGCACTGGTAAAACCTGAAAAGGCCAGAGGAGTTGAGGATGTAATCCTGAGAGCAGCCCAAATGGGTCAAATTGCTGAGAAGGTACCTCATCAACACACACTATTAAATTCTAATGCTTCGCCATTTGCTCTTAATGTTCAAACTAGTGTAAAGCATTCGAGTTATTTTTGATTGACAACCACTAATGAGTTATCTTGTTTTGAATAGGTTTCGGAAGAGAGACTTATATCGCTGCTCGAACAAATCAACACCCAAACAACTAAAGAAACCAAAGTCACCGTAAGTATTGTATTGTAAACCCATAATTCAATCATCTTCCTCTCTAATTTTCTTGAGCATCTTCCCACTGGTTAAAATGTTTATACCCCTGCTCGCTTTTGTGCATCAGATTCGAAGGCGACCCAGCGTTCTCGATGACGATTAGCTTAACTTATTGTAAAACTAGAAAGATCACCTGGGGTGAGTTCTACTCTTCAGTTTACCATATGTGTAGGTAAATTCATCAGAATTTTTATGACCTGTGTGACATTTGTGTGGTGTCCCTAAATAAATTCATCAAGAAAGACTATTATTATTATTATTATTATCATCATTGAAAGGTGGCACTGCAAGTGGATGGGTGTATTCATATATGTCTGTCTCGTGATTGAAGGAAGAGTCTTTTACCTTTCAGGATTTTAGCAGCTGGGTTTTTTATTGGATTTGAATATTATCTTTTTTTTAAGAAATAGTATATTTATGTAGAAGTTTGAGAATTAGTAATTTTTAAAAATATATATATATATTGAATCAAATATTTATTTCTTCTTATAAAGTATTAGATTAAATTCTTAATATTTTGTTGTTCTAAAAAAATTAATTGAAAAAAAAAAAAATCTTTTAATTTACTCCATGATTGCATTAATTATTGCCAAATTGTGAGACGGCTTCTCTCAACCGCACAAGAAACCATATGTTAAATCAAGTGTAGAAATTAGCAAATACAATCGTAACAGTATGAAATCACACTAATTATTATTATATGACAAACGTAACAATATGATAATAAAGCTGTTACATCAAATTTAATCATATAGCGTTGGCCTTAATATGATCAGAAACTTATTAACTTAAAAAAATACTACTAGAACAAATGAACAACAGCTATCATAAATGCGTTGACAATAAATTTGATAGGCCTTGCAGCCCTACTCTACTAGTATTAATTTTGCCGTTATTCCATCCAATTAAGCTCCCACAAATTTATATACTCTATTTTTAAAAAAATAAATTTAAATAACAAGTAAAAGAAAATAGAATAAATTTATATGAAAGTATATATATATAATTTATCCAAACTGCACACTATCTTTGCGACAAACGGACTGCCATTGGCCACGAAAAAAAATAATAAAAACCACCCGATTATTGCATGCACACAGACACCACAAACACCTTTGCTAACTAGCGCTTAAACCAGTGCTATGCATGGATTGTTATATTTAAATTTAGTTATTATAGTATTATTTTTATTTGATTTTATGAATATTTAAAATAAATCAAACAAAATATATATATATATAATAATTATATAATCTAATCCTATATATATATCTATAGCAAGAGTTTCAGACTTCTGCAATCTCAGATTTTTAGAATTTTATTTTTATTTTATTTTTGATGTTTTTTACAATTTTTAAAGTCTATATTAGTATAATTGCATTTTTCTTAGTTTGTGAGAGAACTTATTCATTTATTACATATTTGTAATTTTATAATATATTTATTTGCTTAATGTTTTGTTTGTTAGATATTTTTATTTTTAAATTATCTTATAGCATTTTATTGTAATTTAAATTTATTTCTTATTTTGACCTAACATTATTTATTTTTTTATTTTATTTTATTTTCACTGTCTAATTTGTTTTGTTCTTTCTGTTCATAAGGTAATATCCATTCATAGTCTGGACTTTGAAAATTGTTTCCGCTTAATCATTGTCGGTTGCTGAAGTTGGACACAATATTTCAGATAAGTTATTTAGAAAATTTTATTTATATTATTTTAATTATTCCAAATAGTTTTAGTCAATTTCAATTTTTTAATTTTTTTTAATAATTTTATATATAATTTAACTTTTATATTTAATTTTAGATAAAGAATTTTGATAATATTGTTAGACATTTTCAACTGTAAACTTAAATACTAATTTAATAAGATGATTTTATTTTATTTACTTAATGTTTTTATAAATTCTATTGTATATTATAATTAATTTATTATTATATATTAGAATTTTTTTATAAGTTAATTATAAAAATTAAAAAATATGATTTTTTTATAGTGAGTGTCAATGAATCATATAATTAAAATATTATTTGAATAGATGCTTATAATATGACTTTCATACACATAAAATAGAAAATTTAATAAAAAAAATACAAGAAATAACAATTTATAGAAGAAATAGAATATTAAGATGATAAAGTATAAATATAGTAGTATTATTGTTTATATATTTTTTAATTGAAGATATATATATTATTTTCTTTTTAAATATTTATAAAATTATATAAAAATAATATAATAATTAAACTTAAATATAATAATTCTGTGATAGCACGGGTTTACGCGCTAATATATTTATATTTTACTATTTTAGTGGTTGTATTTTTTTTTATGAAAAATTTTTTTTTTCTATAATTTTACTTATACTTTTATTATAAATATTAGAAGAAAATACAAATCATTATTTACTGTAATATTAAAATAAAAACAAATTATTTTTTAATTATAATTTTATTGTTAATAGTTATGGAAAAAAAACTTGTAAAAGAAAATGATGATTGATCATATTAACTAAAAAAGTAAATAAAAATATACTCCATAAAATAAAATTGAAATATAGACAATTACGATTTTTTACTTAACCGGAAAAAAATTTGTATAAAAAGATGTAAAATTTCAATTATGATCAATTTCATACAAATTCTAAATTATTTTTTTAAGTGATATGATCTACATAATCTATCAAATATTATTTATAATAAATAATAAATATTATGCATAAAATCACTAAGTATAATAAATTAATAAACTAATATACAATACATATATAAATAATAATATCAAACTATCAATATTTATAACTAAAAAAATCTATAATTAAAAATTTCAATAATAATGATTTATTTTTAAATTTAAAATAAATGAAAAAATAGATAAATTATATGTAAATATATATATATTGTTTAGAAAAATTATGTATAATAAAATCATCCTACCAAATTAACATTTATAGTTGAAGTTTACAATTAAAAGTATCAACAACAATTATCCAAAGAAAATTTATTTAAAATTAAATTATATATAAAAATTATTATAACTTTTTATTTATAAATAACCATTATATAAATAAATATGTTAATATAAAAATAAAAAAAATTATATAAAATTATAAATACAAATATATATATTTTTATGAAACTTATATCAAACTTATTAACAACATCAAAATTATACTTTTAAAGAAATTTAAAATAAATATAAAATATATATAAATAAAATAATTCAAATTTTTTAATTAATACATATGCATTATCTTTTTAAAAAACATTTTAAAAAACACTAAGCGCGTGTTAGCTGGTTTGACTAGTTGATTCGATTAGCTGTTTGTATTAAAATGTTTGGTAAAACAACAGTTTGATATTAGCTGTTTATATTTAAAATGACAATTGAGTATATTTCTATTTTATTTTTTGTTTCTAATATATTCAATTATGTTCTTTTGAGTTTAGAATTTTTACAATTTATTGTTATTAGTTATTGAAAATTGTAAAAGTGTTATAAAAGTATTTATTTTTATTACAGTTAGATTTAAAAAATAATATATTTTTATTAAATATATAAATAGTTTTTTCTATTGAAAATGATGTAAAATATAAAATAATAAATTTTTCGTGTATATATTTATTATGTTAGTTATCGATTAGTTATTATATTTATAATTTTCAATAAATTTAATTTATTTAATTTATTTTTAGTATAAAATTTATATAATGTAATTTTAATATAAAAATAAATTATTAATATTTATACTTTCTATTTTATGTTGATTTTAATAAATTTATATATTTTACATTAAAATAATTTTTTATATAAAAATTAATTATTTTAAATTTATAAAAGTAAAACTATAATATAATAACATATTCTAATATAATTAATAAATAATCAAAATATATTTATTTGTGTAAAATGCATAATAAATTTTTAAGGGCATATAAGGAATAAAAAAAATTTAAAAAAAATTATTTCAAAATGGTGGGTAAGTTAGCTTTTCATAAATTAGTTTTTTTTGTCCAAAAAGCTAATTTACCAAACACCTAAATTAATTTTTTGTCTGGTCAAACAGCTAAAGCTGTTCAATAAGATAAAAGCTCTTCAAAAAGTTATTTCCCAAACACCCCTAAAACTATCTAAAAAAACATATAAAGATATCTAAATTTTTTCCATAAAATTATCTAAAAAAATATATAAAGATATATAGATTTTCTCAGTAAAACTATCTAAAAAAACATATAAACATAAACCTTCATATCCTATATATATATATAGATATAACAATATGCAAGATAAATTATTAAAGAAAAATTTATAAAAAAAATACTCACCTTATTTGATAATTGAAATTTATAAAAAAAAATACTCACCTTATTTAATAATTGAAATTATCTTTAAGTTGCAAATAAGTGCTCGATGAACCACTTTCAATGTCAATATTGCAATTTTTTTTCAAAAAAATTAAATTAACTTAATGAATACAAAAATATTAAATAAAAAAACAAAAATAAAAAACATAATTAGAATGAATAATAATAAAATAATAAAAAAAGAAATGAATGAATAAATAAATTTGAGAAAATAAAAATAAAAATTGCAGACATTTATATATATATAATTAACAAATATATGTATTAACAAAAAAGTTCAAATGTCCACTAACCCCTTTAAAATAACCGAATAAAACTGTATGTCTACTAAAATACTTAAACTAATTATAAAAATTATAAAAATAAAAAAATTTGAAAAACTCAAAAATCCAATTACCAAGAATCTTCTAGAACCTCTATACCAAAACATTCGGGGAAAAGAAATAAGAGAGTATCTGAAAACCAAACCAGCATTTTCATTACATGAACCCTCCAATTAATACCATAACTGCTTTTATTACTGGCAGATTCCACCATTCCGAGATTTTGTAAGCTTTGACTACTGCAGAAAGGAATCACTTGCTCGGCCTTCTCCAACCTGTCCATCCGCATCCTCAAATCATTGCTGCGTCAATCTCATCTTTATTTATTCAATTATGGACTAGGAACACTTCAACCCATCTTCTTCCCCAAAGATTTCAGATTAGAGGATAAGTGTTTTCCGACAGAGTGCTCCAATGGAGAAAGAACCGCTCCTCTGTTCCGCCTACCCAGGTAGACCCGATCCTTCTGCGCCGCTGCTCTGCCCTCTACCGGAAGACGATGAAATTACGATTCCGCCCCTGCCGTTGACGCCCGCCGCCAGAGAGCTCAAAGACCGCCTGATTTTCGGGGCGTCTGCTTCTTCTTCTTCATCTCAGGTTAAGGACTCCTCAACCTCGAACCTTCTAGAAGCCCTAGCCGTAACCCTAAAATCGCCGCGGAACTCGTTCCAGTCGCCGGACGGCGAGAGGTTCGCCCTCGATCAGCTTCAATCGCCGTCGGTTCTCGATCCGGAGTACCAATCGTCGTGGCTCAACGACCCTAATTACCCCGCCTTCAAGACGAACCTACATCGCTCCCGGACTGCCCCCGCCATGGCCACAATCAACGAAATCGACCATTTGGAGCCCAAACCTCCCCAATTCAGCCGGATTTCCATCGTGAGGCAAGGCTTCGTTCTCTTAATCATTTACTTGAGTCTCGGCGTCGCGATTTACTCATTCAACAGAGATCATTTCAGCGGAACTGAAACTCATCCAGTCGTCGATGCTCTGTACTTCTGCATTGTAACCATGTGCACTATCGGCTATGGCGACATAACCCCCAACAGCCCTGCAACTAAGCTGTTCTCCATTACATTCGTGCTCGTTGGCTTCGGATTCATCGACATTTTGCTCACCGGCGTCGTCAGTTACATGCTCGATCTGCAGGAGAATTATCTTCTAAGAACAATCAAGGGCAGCGGGGCACACGATCCCGGCTCGTACATAATCGATGTCAAGAAGGGGAGGATGAGGATTAGGATGAAGGTTGCATTGGCATTGGGCGTAGTCGTCGTTTGCATAGGCGTCGGCGTTACAGTGATGCATTTCGTCGAGCATATGAATTGGTTGGATTCGTTCTACTTGTCGGTAATGTCCGTAACCACCGTTGGATACGGTGACAGGGCGTTTAAATCGATGACGGGGAGGATATTCGCGTCGATTTGGTTGCTTGTGTCGACGCTCGCCGTTGCTCGAGCCTTCCTTTACTTGGCGGAGGCGAGGGTCGATAGACGACATCGGAGGATGGCGAAGTGGGTGCTCGGACAGGATATGACGGTTGCGCAGTTCCTTGCTGCTGATATCGATAACAATGGATTCGTTACGTAAGTGCTAATCTTTCGATCATTTTTGTTGTTGTTCTTGTTTCGTTAGTATTTTGTTATTGCTTAGTGTTAGATTATGACTCGAATTCGAGACATAAGACTCTGATAGTTGTAGATGTAAATAATTGTCTCACTTAAAAGTTTAAGCTTTTAGGGATACGTATTATTTATTTATTTATCTACAAACGGGAGTAAACCAACACTTAATTTAAATCTAAAGGCGATATATAGAGTTGCATTGGGGATTTCAATCGATGTTTCTTTAATTTAGAGAGCTTGAAAGTACGTTATTGTCGTAGATGATCTAATTATGTTATTGGTACTAATGTATAGTTCGAGAATGTTTCTTCGTAATGTGTAATATGGTTGTGTGGATATGATTTTATGTTTTTTCGGTCATGATTGGATTAGAACAAGTCGTACATATGAATCGATGTGTTCGGTTGGATGTCCTATTCGAGCATCTCATGTATCATGAGTGTTTGTAGTTCCCTACTCATATGGTCTCTTTTTTCGGGATAAATCTGCTGACCAATAAGTTGTGTTTGGAGAGTTAATCTGTCGCCGTCGGATTTAAACTTGTAGGCAGAATGATGCCATTGCAATTATTCGGTATGAAAGTTTTAATTTTTCTTCCATGCTACTTCTATCCCGGCAGCAAATCGGAGTTTGTTGTGTACAAGCTGAAGGAGATGGGCAAAATCTCGGAAAAAGACATCATGCAAATATGCAAACAGTTCGAAAGGCTCGACTCGGGCAATTGTGGGAAGATCACTCTCGCAGATCTTATGGAAAGTCATCACTGATTTTAAGACAGCCGAATGTAGCTTTATCGGGGTCTAACTCTTGTGCAGCAGAGACAGGATCGTGTTTTGGATGATTCAGACAACGAAAACTGTCTTCGTGTCTGATTATGGAAAGGGATCTTCCACGGCCCGGAACCAGGTAGAAATTTTTATCTGCACATGGCATGGCATTGCATTGTTCGATCAAGTTAGTCGTATGTGCGTTTCTTCATTACCTGCACGAACACACACATGTGTATGTATAGAGACATTAGAAATGACTGAGGGACATGAAGCCGCGATATCCCAACTAAAACATGTTGTCGATATTTCATTTATGCGCGGTGTCGCGTGCTAGATTCTTGCATCGTTGTGAGGCAGCGGAGAATGGGGAAGGGGTGTTTGAGGTTGTAGTAAGTTTTTGAAGATGTGTAGGGACTAGAGAGCAGAGAGTTTTTATGGATTTTTCGATTGCATTTTGGATAAATATGTCACTGAACATATGTAAATTATGTAAGATAAGACATCCATCCATATGTTTTATTCATTCATGTGTATTTTGGGACTCGTCTCTTTCACTTTAAGGCTATTTATTTATATCCAACTTTTTGCTGATCTTCTGTGGGCCTTTTTGAATTTTTTGCCATTTTATCATTACTATTGGGCTATATTTGTGTATCTTAATAAGATATATAGTATACATTTTCGTTTGGCTTTTGTAAATAATGCTCAAATAATTTAATAATACGATTCAATAATTTTTTTAAAAAAATAGGAAATAATGATATTTTTTATATTTTTATTTACTATAATTATTTTTATATATTAAATAATATTATTTTTTAGTAGCAGTATAAAATGTTTGTTTGTTCAATTATTTTTTATCCTTGATCATTGTTGGCTCCGTTGTTACTCTTCAAATACACTCTAGGTATATTTCGATCGAACTTGATAGCCTACAAACTAAGCCTGGGAAGACAAGTGGCACTAGACAAGCTATGTATAACGGACAAGATTTAGATGTGTCGAGGCTTTAAACTCATGATCTCACGATGATAAGTTTACTCTGTACCACCGAACTATCCCTTACGAGACAATACTTTCAAATTTTTTGTAGTACGCACAATTGTCAGAATTGAGTTAGTTATACCGAGGCCAGTTATAAAAGAATTAAATCTCTTATACCAATATCACAACACCTATTTGAGACTTTGTTTGTTCAATTGGCAAACAAACTTCTCTTTGTTTGTTTCAATAAGGCCTTTTGTTTGGACCATGTAGATCTCTTATTCAAGTTCTCTACGAAGAAATACATTTTCACATCTAACTATTAAGTGGAGATTATATGTAGCACACGTATACACGACCAACCTGATTGTTATCGATCAAACAATTTATAAAAATATTTCACTGAAACCGATACCTTTTTTATGAGCAAATAATCCGGCCACTAATTTTGCACGATACCGTTTCACTTTTTTTTTACCCCGTATGGTAGTCGAACAAGAACTCAAGTTTTATTTCCGATCAAAAAATAAAAATAACTCAAGTTTTATTTTTATGCAAAATTTCCTTATCTTGCATTGCTGCAACCCATATGGACACCTATAAGCTTTTGGTAGCTTTCTGGAAAGTCGATGGCTCACCATCCTCTATGAGAAGGCATTATGCTAAACCGGTGGCCGTTTCTCAGAAATTGATTGTCACTGTTATGAAGCTTTGCTTTCGTCTTGTTTATTGTACTTTGATACCATTGTCGGATCCAATATATTGGTTTGAACTTGCGGAAACAATAATTTGCAACTAAGTTGATTTTAAAAAAAATTAAAGTAGGAGAAGTCGACACAACAATTGAACTCAAAAATGGCTACGTCCACAAGGTAAGTGCAATAGAATTTTACTATAAATACAATTTGAGCATATTACAGCACTCTTAGAATATGAGAGAATCTTATTAATATCCCTCTCTAGTTCTATAGAATATAACTCTATCTTACAACGATCTTCTGGAAGTGTTCTTCATATAGACAAAAGCTTCATCTTCTTTGCCTTAAAATGAACCGTTTTTACATCCATGATCTTTGTTTCTCAAATTTACTATATCTTCTTTACCTTCAATTTAGCAATTTATTTTGCCTTTAATTGAAGGCTTTCTAATATATTTTGCATAAAAATAAATATATTAAAAACCACAAAAAAAATGCATAGTAAAAAAAAATAAAAATGAATTGTTTTAATTAAATATAAATAGATGGATAGGGAATGTAATGTAAATTAAAATTATAACAAATTTTAGAAACATGGAAATAAATAAAAGTATCTATTATATTCCCTTACGATGACTAATCACCTGCATTATTTGCTGCAAGATTTAAGCCAAGTTGTGTGTTTAAAACAAGTACAAATAAATTATTTATTTATTCATCTGTGTAATAATAATAATAATAATAATAATAATAATATTGATTCATATTTATATATACGTACGGTACTGTTGCGGTCATGGTCGGAAGTTAGAATTCGACAACTTTGGGTTTCCTTCACTGACCTTAATTTATAATTAATATATGTATATATATCAATCACTTGTCTTTTCCACAATTTTTTTTTTTTTTTTTTCCTTTTTGGGCATCTATAATTTATAAACTTTTATTTAAAAACTTATCTTATAATAATAATAATAAAACTAAAACAAGAATAAGATTCTAATTATTCTCATTTTTTATTGTTGAAAAAAAAATTAAAAAAAATTGTATCTATATAAATGGTGGCAACCCATATTATAAAAGATTTGCAACAGCAGTTTTTTGTGTGTCAAAATTTAGCTGACCATTTTACAGTAACAATAATTTATAGTATTTATTTAATGTGATCCCAGAAGTAAGTCACAGTGAGTCAAAATGAACTATATATATCAACTTGCATATTATTTTATTTTCTTTTTTGTAGTTTATTGAATAGAATAAAAATGAAACTTGAACCATGAAATTAAAACAGTTGATAGGAATCATATCACATGCAATCTATTATTATTATTATTATTATTATTATTATTATTATTATTATGATGATGATGTGGAAATAAACAGCACTATGTAAATTGGAGATGTTGACTAATTCTGCATATATCACCAAGTGGAGTGAATTACACACAATCATTGGGAATTTTATTTAATTTTATTTTTAAGTGTTGCGAAATTTTTAAATGCTAAATTAAGAACCTTTGAATTGGTCTACTCGGCTGACTTTGAGGACATATTTTATGTCTTCCACTTAATCAAAATACATTTTTTTTTTTAATTAATAAACGACAATGGATGTATATATGTAACAAAATAATGAAATTGTTTTATTCAATTTGATATTTATAAATAATATATTTATGTATTTAATTATGTACATAAACTATTATACTAATATATTTTAATATAAAAATTTTAAATTAAATTTATTTTAATATTATATTTTAAATTTTATAAATAAATAAATATTTTAATATTTAATTATTATTACTACATTATCTGTTATCTTGTGCTACCTTTCTTTGTAAAATGAAAAAAAAAAAAAAAACATACTCTCTCCGTTCCAGATATTTTAAGTTTATTACGTAGATACGAGAATTTAGTACAAATTATTATTATTTAGTAAAAATAATTATAGATTAAGATAAGTAAATAGTTTAATTAAAATTAAAAAAAATTATTAAAGTACATAACATATGTGAGACGAACGAAAATAAAAAATATGGACAAATAACGTGGAACTGTTAGATAGAATATAATAGAATGATAGAGATGATGGTATTTAATTGTAAATTAATCAAATAATTTTATCTATGCCATATTATATTCAATTTTTTTAATATCTGTAGTTAAATTTTTATAATTTGAATTCACATAAAGATATCCGATTTAATTTAATTTTTAATTAAATATAAATATGAAACTTTAATATTGAATTACAATAGTTACAAGTCGACGTGTGTGTCAATGTCCTAACAACATTTCTGTTTTGAAGAAATACACCTAACAAGTAACCTGCCCTCTCTTCTGATTTGACTTCCAATAAATATATAAAAATAAAATAGTCCCTGTGTCACACCACAATTGATATTATTTTTATTTTTGTTTGTTCCGTAATAATTGTCACTTTTTTATTTTTGGTAAAAATTATTAAACCAAAACATATTTAACAAATATAAATCAACTTAATTAACTACGTAACATACAGTATCATAAATGACATAGGACCCACTCAAAACCTCGTTATTTCTACCTCTCTCTTCAAAAAACTAAATATGTTTATCTATATTTAAAAGTACACATCGTTTATAAAATTAATTTATATTAATTATAAATAAATAAAAATATTTTTTTATTTACTTGTACTATAGAAGATTTTATTTTCTACAAAGTGATATTCGTATTGCATATATTTTTTAATTGTTATATAATTTTTAAATATTTAAACATATATTTTAATTTTTTTAATCATATATATTAAATTTATTTTAAAACTATAATATTATTAATTATACAAAAAATAATATAATAATATCATAACTAATTATTATTAACTAATTAAACATCTTCACCTTAAATATCGTATCCTTAATCAAATGGCTCAATTCTGGTAGGACGGAGGGAGTACTACTTTATTGGTATTTTGATTGAATTTATCTATCAACAGATAATACTTCATCCTCCAAAATAATTATGTCACTTCTTTTTATTATATGTTAAATTTATATATAATTTATTTATAGTAAATAAGTTTAATCATTCATAATTTTATTATAATTTTTAATTTAACAAATAATTTATCAATTTGTTACTATTTTTTTTAAATTATTTCAGTATTTAAAATACTATTATTTTTTAATTGTTGTATCGAACGTTGTGACGTAATTAGGCCAAATTGAAAGAATTGTAAATATGACATTTTTTTCACAAATATGCATCATATAGTCAAGGAGAAAATATTATTTCAGCAAATGAATTGTACTGGTTCAGCAATATCTTTTTTATTTAAATATTAACTTGTGTGTTTGGTTTTTATTTTAAATAATAAAAAAATTACTATTTATTTCTAATAAAAACTTATTTTTTAATATATAAATTACATTAAAATACTATTTAAATTAAAATTTAAAATATCACACCAATTTCAAATCAAAACTAAACAAACCACACCACTATTTATTAGTACTATAATTTACTGAAATGGTGAATTTTTACCTAATTTTGTGTTAATTACTTTGCAACAAACCAAAAAAAATATTATGGAGTTAGGAAAAATGTCATTTACTAAAATTAAAATTATAACAAAAAAAAAAAAAAGGAGCATTCATATAATGATGAAATTTATTTTATTTTAGAATGTCATAAAATATAATCACAAATGTCATTAATATAAATGACACCTCCAAAAATATTTAAGCAATTTTGTTTCTTTTTTTTTTTTGTGGATTATTTTGTGGTTTAATATATAGGGGTGAATTTTAATTAATTATTTATTTTATGTTTCAAAGTTGGGTGGGTGGGTGGGTGGGTGATAAGACACCCATTGCTATCATTTTACAGATTGCTTTTTGACAAATTTCTTGCTTAATTAGC